TATATATAGTATGTCAAGAAACTCTGTACACACTGAAAAAAGTATATATTTTTTAACTTTGCGTGCAAAAAAACGCCTTTAGTTATTTCTTTTCAATATTTTTTAAAACAACAAAATATGAGTTTATACCATGTTCAGACCGACACTTAATCACACGATTTTAGCTGTTGAACGGATTATCCCACTAATCTTAATCTTAATCTTAAATTTATCAAGATTTCGCCGTACAAAAATGACAGTTCAAAATCACTTCATTACAATCATTTGAAACTGATCCACGCTAAATCTGTCTGTGCGACTCTGATTTAGCGTCATCGGTTGGTCAAATTTGTTTAAACGCAGCTGATTTTGACACTATAAACTGTCAGAATTTAAAACTAACAGACAAAGAACAAAATAAATAAAATATGGAAAAAAAACTCCAAAAAAAGAGAGTAATGTGGAGTGACACTGCCGAGGCCGACCTAATAGAGGCATGGCAACTAAGCTGCGATCAACGCGAAAAAATAACCATATATATGAGAAAATGTCTGCTACAATGCTTTTGCCTGGACACGAATATACGTCCACTGAAATCAAAATTAAATTGAACAATTTTACAAACAAATACAGGTAAGTAATAAATTATGAGGTAAACATATAACATTAAATTTTTTATTTTTTATTTTTAGACAAGAAAAGCAGGAAATTGGCCCATCGGGTGGCTGCCCTAGTCGGTGGATATATTATGCGGCGGTCCACCATGCGCTAGGCGGTTTTAAAAGTTTTTGTTCCGCCGAACTTCTATTTTCAGTTGACATTGATCCAATTTTTGTTGAGGCCGATGTAGAAGGACAGTCGCCGCTCCCAAGCCCAGGCGATGGACCTTCTACGTCGCATGGTTGCGCTCGGCCATCATCAAGCGATTCTGCCAAAACGAAAAAAGCAAAAACAATAATGGAGGAAATTAAAGATGACTTATTAAAGGCGACTGAGGCGATGAAGGAAGCCGATGAAAAGCGCCTTTCTCTCCTACAAGAATACATTAGCGATTCATAAGAAGTGAAGGACGCTTTCATAGACTTCCTTCGTCGCCAAAATTAGATTTACATTTTTTTTTAAGTTTTAGTTTAAGATACTTGTGTAAGATAAATGATGAATGGAAAATGAGTTTAAATATTATATGTTAATCAAAATGAAAATATATATGTAATATATAAAATATATATATATAAATGAATAAATGAATACGAATATGAAAAATAAATATTAATATGTGAATGAATACGAAAATATATATGTATGTAACATATATAAAATATAAAAATATCTGTTTTTGTACTGGAATTGAATTATGAGGTATGTAAGTATGGATTGGTTGAGATTTAATAATATTTCAAAGTTGAATAATAACTCACCGAATTACGAAACGAACGCTTGTCTTATTTCCTCTGTCGTCTAAACCTTCCCTTTAAATGACAGAAAGCATTCTCCACCACTCTTCGGCATTTCGAGAGTACATAGTTGAATTTTTTTTTTTTATCCAAACGTTGGTTTACACAAAATGGGTATGATTTCATCAAACGACTGGAACATTAACTGACGATATTTGTCTACTCATGTCTTTAAATATATTAGATTGTGCCAAATCGTTTTTTAAAGATGATCTCTCAAATATTGAAGAGTCATTACAACGGCCTGGACTACCAACGTTGATGTATATAAAGCGACATCTATAATATTAAAGAAATACCTTAGGTGTTTAAACGAGCTTCATGAAAAAATTTACCTTGCATCTACTAAAGCCAAAAGAACTGTGGAATACCAGCCTTTGTAATTGTAGTAGTCAACAGCATCTTCTGCGGCTAGGCGAACTACTATATGACAACTATCTAAAACTCAAAAATATATAAAAACTCCAAAGTAAAAAATTGAACTTATTACCTATAGCTCCTGACACTTGAGAGAAACCCAATGATTCAAAACCATTTAAATACTCGCGCAATTGAATATCGCTCATTGGGAATTTCTTCAAATACAAAGGCCACAAACAACGCCAGACTTCATGACAGAAATCAATTAGAATAGAGTAGACAGTGCTTTTACCAAGTCCGAACATATTTCCAATTGTTCGGTATTCTGCAGAAGAGCCAAGAGCATATAAAGCAATAGCAATGCGTTTCTCTAATTGAATTGCTTTGCGGTAGTTGGTGTTTTTCTTCTCCAAACCTTTCAACATAATACACAATTCAATGAAAGAATTCCACTTCAGTCGTCGGAAGTTGTTTTTAAAAAATGCATCTAAATTCACCTGGAAGTCGACTTCCCAAAACGTTGGGCCACGAGCCTGAATTATAATACCAATATTTATATATGTACTTGTTTTATCCAAATAGACTTTGTTGTATTTGCTCCATATTGACTACACATTTTTAGTGCTACCTGTTCATGTAGCAAACGTTTCAGTGCTACGCGGTTAGAATCAAACAATTCCCAAATTATTTAAATTGAGCGGAGATAATTTAGAAAAAAGAAGACAATTTTTATAACAACGTACGACATTACAATGTTTTAAATACTTTGATGTTTATGGCTGAATGTCAAAAACATCTGATTTATAAATCAGCAACGGCAGTAAGAACACTTTTGGATTATGAAATGCTTAAATGTTATCTAATCTTTTAAATTTTCGGTCTGAACATAGTATTACACATTTTTGACACTGTCAAGAAACTCTCTATACACTTTAGATTTCGATTCTGTTTTGTTCTATTTGAAGAAAAAACGGTACTTTACCGTTATCTATGCTTATGTACTATGGGCTATTTTGCATACCTTTTCATTTAATTGCGATATCTTTCTGCACACGTGTCAAAAAGCTTATTTTAAAATTATTTAACATGCCTGGAGCTAGATTGACTTTTGACGTTACCCAATAGATTTATTATTATCACCAAATTGGAAAATCTATAGCTGAGCTAGTGGAGATGTTTTGTGCATCGCGAAAAACAATTTATAATGTTTTACATCGAGCCGAAAATGTAGACAGACTGGAAGCAAAGTGTGGAAGTGGTCGAAAGGAGAGATTGACGAGCGGGCAGACCGCCTTATCATGCGTAAGGTCTGCCACCTAATTCTGAGAAACAAATACTCTTCAAGGATTGCGCGTAAGAAGCCGCTACTTTCGAAAGTAAATGTTGAAAGCGCTTAACCTTTGCTGTTGACATGAGCATCAAGCCGGACAACTATTGGGATGACGTCATATTCTGTGACGAAACCAAAATAATGCTGTACTACAATGACGGACTAAGTAGAGTATTGCGCAAGCCGTTAACAGTTTTACATCAGCGCAACATCATTCCGACAGTAAAATTCGGGAAATTGTCGGTAATGGTTTGGGGATGCATTAGCAGCAAGTGAGTGGGAGAGCTTGCGTTTATTGAAAATACAATGAATGCTGAGCAATATCTCTCCATTCTCACAACAAAGTTGAGGCAAAGTGCGAACAAATTTGGCTTTATTGTCGCCAATAAGACAAAATCAAAATTTTATCAGGACAATGATCCCAAACATAAGGAGCTCACTGTGCGCACATGGCTCCTTTACAATTGCCAAAAGGTCATAGATACACCTCCTCAGAACCTCGACTGAACCACATTGAAAATTTTTGAATTTATCTAAAGAAAAAAGGCAGCTCAAAAACCGCGCCGCCTTAAAAGCAGCAGTACTGGAAGAGTGGCATAAAATTCCCTTGAAATATGACCTAGCTGGTCAGTTCCATGAAAAATCGCACTAGGCTCATAGTTGAAGCTAAGGGGAGTCATAATAAATATTAAAATTAGTTTAAGATAGTAAGTTGTTAAATATATTAATTAAACTATAGTTAAGGTACTTTGTGTAAACTGAGCTATTGCTTTCACTAATAATTTGTGTACGGTCGCAATAAAAACATCATGGCCACCACTGGTGAATAAGGGTGGCGAGAGGTCAAAACGGGTAGCAGAAAGCGAAAATGCTATAATATTTAATTATAAATTTATATTTGTAAATTTATGAATACTATTTTCAATTTTTGCTGTAAGGTTTATAGTTGTTATGTGTGGACCATAAGGGATAACTATTGTGGAAAAGTTTGGAATTACATATCATAATAATTCGTCTGAACAGTATTTCACGATTTTTTATTGTAAGGTAAATCTAGAGATAATTATAATAGCCATGTTTCCTATATTTTAAGTATAAAATTATGTAATCTCAAACTACATACACCTTTTATATGTCAGAATTGAGCTATACGCCGGCGATCAGGAATCCTACTCGTTCCCAAATAGATTGATCATCCTAACAGATTTACCACATTATTTTTTAGTTCTAAGTTTTTAAATAAAAAATTATTCTTAAAGAAATTATTTTTTGAATTTGCATTATATATATAGTAGTAAAAAGTAGTTTAAATTAGCTTACGCAATACTATTTTGCCATGCTTAATAGCAACACTGGCATAATATTTAAAAAAATAAGTGATTGCTCGAAATGTATTCCGTTTGAAATTATTCAAATCGATAATAACTTGTTTGGCCCAAATAAAAATACAAATCAAATTTGGTACTTTTTAATAGCGGTTCATTATTAGCCAAATTACATTTATAACATTTACATTACATTTATTAATTCTCTAGATGTAAAGACGAATTGTAATTCAGGTGTATGCAAATGTTTCTTTTTCAAATCGCTGCTTGGTCACCAACGCCACCAACTTTCACGTTTTTCACGTAGTTCTTCCAGATGTTCTATCGGTTTTGGTGGAGCTGGTTCCTCCCACTCTCCCAATTCGGCATCATAGCAGCACGATATGGKCGCAATTCCCATGGTACTTCCTCTTCCATGGAGGTCAATTGTACACCCAAACGACATCGGTAATACAATCGATACGTTCCATTTGCAGCTCACCAATAGGTTGTCCTGGACAGATAAGCTCAGTGAACTCGGCTTTCAATAGGAATGCATGTCTTAAAGACGGTATCCCCACCATTTTTAGCTTTGCGCATAACAAGATGGAACCAGTCAATTAAGTCGCTCAACTGGTACCGCTTAGGTCTGCAAGGTGGGTGTTGAGTGTTTAGCATATTAGAAAGTATGTAAATTCATTTTGCTCAAAACCTACCCAACAGCTTGATAAACCTGACCAGTAGTATCGGGATCCTTAGTCCAATTGACAATAGCTTGTGCAACATCCGAACAGCACATTCATCGTAGTATTTGCTCTTCAAAGCGTTGCTTTCACCCTCAAGCACAAAGCTTATTGGTTTGAGACCAGCTTTAAGGCAGACAAATAATCAAACGTTGTACACCAGCTTCTTTGCTGAAAAAAAATTAAAAAATAGATGGTAAATCTTTTGAAATAAAGTTCAATTTTAGCTTACCTAGCAATGCAACGTTTACCTACCACGAGCACGTCATTGAATGTAAAATTTTGTCTCGAATTCACGACCAACTCAGTTAATAACTACATTTGAGTACTTCACAGCATCGCGTATCGTTTTTTATCTCTTAAATCACAAAATTGGAACAGCACCTGACCCATTACGCAGCAATATTAACGAAGCTATGTTTATTTATTTCGTACTTTTATTGGAATAAAATCCCAGTCGATCCGTTATTTATCTTCCAAATGGAAATTTTCAAACATTTGTTCCAGATTTAAATAACTAAATAAACCATAGTAAAGATTGTTCCAGGAAATAAATTCTAACAAGTTGTGTTGCAAAAACCTACGTTGTGATGACAAAAATATAAGTATGGTTGTGAATGAGCATATTCTGGACCCCACTATTCGGCATGGTTGCTTCGTAACATTTTTCTGTGGTGAACATTTGTTAACTTACCACAGTTAAAAAGAGGCTTAAATAAATAACTTAATTTTTCATGTATTCGCTCATATTGTTCTCATCTTTAAGAATATATATTAAAATAAAAATATTTTTCTTTGAAAATACATTAAAGTTTTATATATAATCAATATTTTTGGGACAACTTTTTCATAAATTTTAAGAAAATAACACAATGCAACCATTTTCCGGTTAAAAGTCGGCCATCTTCGATTCTAATAGAAACTCAGCCCCGGACTCCCCTGACGTTCCTACAGTGGCACCTCTCGGCTGTCCCTTTGTTTACATAACATCAGCTGATAGTGACTCTACTCCTCCTCTACCGTGGTTTTATTAGTAACTAAGAGGAAAAAGTATACCACAGATAATGAGACCCAGTGAGAGAGCAATTGCTAAACGTCAAAACCTACCGAACTTTGACAGTTGACTGGATTGAGTAGGTTTTGACGTTTTACAATTGGAATGACTGGAACGACTAGATTGAAATTATACCAAAATATATGTGAACGGAGGAATTTATTGCCGCCATCTGGCCATAATGGAAAATGTTATAAAAAACGCTTATTTTGGGGCGCTCTCACACTGGAATAAGTTGGACATCCCATTATCCCTGAGTATACTATGCATGCTGCGCACAGGCAGCGAATATGTATAAAGAATACGCGCAACAATTCAAAGGGTGCGTACACATCTCAATGGGTGTTATATACATTGAGAGCAGGATATAAAGGCACATGTTATATATAATATAATGTGTTGCTATATAGTAGTCTTCATATTTCCAACATTCCTTCTCAACGCAGTATATTCACATTTTCAAATTAATACAAGTAAATCAAATAATTTCCTTCTACAAGCCAATTCAAAAATTAAGAAATATTTACTTTACAGTAATCCTATTAAATTAATACATTTTACATGTTGACTCAAATTCTTTGTCCACACATTAGCAATCATATATTATGTCTGGACATATTCAAATTCTACACTTTTAACTAGCTGCCTCGACAGACATTGCCCTGCATGATATTTTAAGCTATTAGATATTTTTATATTAAACAAAATTTGTAATCACAAATAATAAAATAATTTCCTTACTCTTTAAGGTGAAATAACTTCAATTTTTTTTAGAATAAATTCGTTGTAATCAATAATGTTTCTTTAATTTTATTTTAATGCGAGTTGATGAACAATATTTTTAAAAGCAAAATGATAGGTGAGCAGATATTTAATCGGAAGTTATGTGGTGGCATTCGTATATTAATCTAGCGAATTCAAAAAAACCAACAGAACAGAATTCAAAAAAATCGTCAGAATCGGTAACAATGTCGTTCGATTTGAACCATTGTATTTAAAAGGGTGAATATCGATATATTTTGCTGCTACAATATCTCGTTCACGAATCCAAGTACGATTATTATATATAAATCAAAAACAATTATATGAAGCATTAATGTCTTCTCGCAATTAATTTAGTATATTAAGATTATAATCAAGAAACCAGGTTTGCCTGGTTAAGCTGAGCTCAGGCTACTGCCGGGGTCACAGCTAGCGGATAGTGGACGGCCTACTCTAAGTAGGTTAGCTGAGAATAGTATACGCAGCCCCCAACCAAGAGCTACAGGAGAGGAGGGCTTGGCTCAAAACGCCTAATACGCCCAATGAACCTCCGGCGAATAGGCGAGAAGATG